GACGGGATGAAGCCGTGGAAATAGCTTGGAGAAACTTCGCTGGGAGGGAGCGAGACCGGATGCTCGACGGGATGAAGGCGTGGAAATAGCTTGGGAAAACTGCGCTGGGAGGGAGCGAGACCGGATGCTCGACGGGATGAAGCCGTGGAAATAGCTTGGGGAAACTGCGCTGGGAGGGAGCGAGACCGGATGCTCGAAGGGATGAAGCCGTGGAAATAGCTTGGGGAAATAGCTTGGGGAAACTTCGCTGGGAGGGAGCGAGACCGGATGCTCGACGGGATGAAGCCGTGGAAATAGCTTGGGGAAATAGCTTGGGGAAACTTCGCTGGGAGGAGCGAGACCGGATGCTCGATGGGATGAAGCCGTGGAAATAGCTTGGGGAAACTTCGCTGGGAGGGAGCGAGACCGGATGCTCGACGGGATGAAGCCGTGGAAATAGCTGGGGGAAACTTCGCTGGGAGGGAGCGAGACCGGATGCTCGACGGGATGAAGCCGTGGAAATAGCTTGGGGAAACTGCGCTGGGAGGGAGCGAGACCGGATGCTCGACGGGATGAAGCCGTGGAAATAGCTTGGGGAAATAGCTTGGGGAAACTTCGCTGGGGGAGCGAGACCGGATGCTCGACGGGATGAAGCCGTGGAAATAGCTTGGGAAAATAGCTTGGGGAAACTTCGCTGGGAGGGAGCGAGACCGGATGCTCAACGGGATGAAGCCGTGGAAATCGCTTGGGGAAACTTCTCTGGGAGGGAGCGAGACCGGATGCTCGACGGGATGAAGCCGTGGAAATAGCTTGGGGAAACTTCGCTGGGAGGGAGCGAGACCGGATGCTCGACGGGATGAAGCCGTGGAAATAGCTTGGGAAACTTCGCTGGGAGGGAGCGAGACCGGATGCTGGACGGGATGAAGCCGTGGAAATAGCTTGGGGAAATAGCTTGGGGAAACTTCGCTGGGAGGGAGCGAGACCGGATGCTGGACGGGGTGAAGCCGTGGAAATAGCTTGGGGAAACTTCGCTGGGAGGGAGCGAGACCGGATGCTGGACGGGATGAAGCCGTGGAAATAGCTTGGGGAAACTTCGCTGGGAGGGAACGAGACCGGATGCTGGACGGGATGAAGCCGTGGAAATAGCTTGGGGAAACTTCGCTGGGAAGGAGCGAGACCGGATGCTGGACGGGATGAAGCCGTGGAAATCGCTTAAGGAAACTTCGCTGGGAGGGAGCGAGACCGGATGCTCGACGGGATGAAGCCGTGGAAATAGCTTGGGGAAACTTCGCTGGGAGGGAGCGAGACCGGATGCTGGACGGGATGAAGCCGTGGAAATAGCTTGGGGAAACTTCGCTGGGAAGGAGCGAGACTGGATGCTGGACGGGATGAAGCCGTGGAAATAGCTTGGGGAAACTTTGCTGGGAGGGAGCGAGATAGCATGCTGGACGGGACAAAACCGTGGAAAATAGCTTGGGGAAACTTCGCTGGGAGGGAGCGAGACCGGATGCTGGACGGGACAAAACCGTGGAAATAGTTCGGGAAACTGCGCGGGGAGGGAGCGAGACAGCATGCTGGACGGGACAAAACCGTGGAAAATAGCTTGGGGAAACTGCGCTGGATGGGAGCGAGACAGCATGCTGGACGGAAAGCTGTGCTGGGAGGAAGCGCGACAGCATGCTGGACGGGACAAAACCCTGGAAATAGCTTGGGGAAACTTCGGTGGGAGGGAGCGAGACAGCATGCTGGACGGAGAAGAAAGCGTGCAAATAGCTTGCGGAAAGTTGCGCTTGAAGGGAGCGAGACAGCATGCTGGACGGGATGATGCCGTGGAAATAGCTTGAGGAACTTCGCTGGGGGGGAGCAAGACAGCATGCTGCACGGAGACGAAAACTGTGGAAATAGCTTGCGGAGAGCTTTGCTGGGAGGAAGCGCGAGAGGATGAGACAGCATGCTGGACGGAGAGGAAACCGTGCAAATAGCTTGCGGGGAGCTTCGCTGGAAGGGAACGAGACAACTGGACGGATGGGAAACCGTGGAAATAGTTTCGGAGAGCTTCGCTGCATGGGAGGAAGCGAGATAGCATGCTGGACGGAGAGGAAACCGTCCAAATAGCTTGCGGAGAGCTTTGCTGGGAGGGAGCGAGACAGCATGCTGGACGGAGAGGAAACCGTGAAAATAGCTTGCGGAGAGCTCCACTGGGAGGGAGCGAGACAGCATGCTGGACGGAGAGAAAACCGTGGAAATAGCTTGGGGAAAGTCCGCTGGGAGGGAGCGAGACAGCATGTTGGACGGAGAAGAAACCGTGCAAATAGGTTGCGGAGAGCTTCACTGGGAGGGAGGGAGACAGCATGCTGCACGGAGGAAAGTGTGAAAATAGCTTGCGGAGAGTTTCGCTGGGAGGGAGCGAGATAACATGCTGGACGGATAGGAAACCGTGGAAATAGCTTGCTGAGCTGGGAGGGAGCGAGACAGCTTGCGGAAAGCTTCGCTGGGAGGGAGCGAGACAGCATGCTGGACGGAGAGAAAACCGTGCAAATAGTTTGCGGAAAGCTTTGCTGGGAGGGAGCGAGACAGCATCCTGGACGGAGAGGAAACCGTGGAAATAGGTTAAGGAGAGCTTCGCTGGGAGGGAGCGAGACAGCATGCTGGACGGAGAGGAAACCGTGCAAATAGGTTGCGGAGAGCTTCGCCGGGAGGAAGCGAGATAGCATGCTGGACGGAGAGGAAACCGTGCAAATAGCTTGCGGAGAGCTTCGCTGGGCGGGAGCGAGACAGCGTGCTGGACGGAGAGGAAACCGTGCAAATAGGTTGCGGAGAGCGTCGCTGGGAGGGAGGGAGACAGCATGCTGGATGGACAGGAAACCGTGGAAATAGCTAGCGGAGAGCTTCGCTGGAAGGGAGCGAGACAGCGTGCTGGACGGAGAGGAAACCGTGGAAATAGCTTGCGGAGAGCCTTGCTGGGAGGGAGCGAGACAGCATGCTGGACGGGACAAAACCGTGGAAATAGTTTGCGGAGAGCTTCGCTGGAGGGAGCGAGACAACATGCTGGACGGATAGGAAACCTTGAAAATAGTTTGCGGCAGAGCTGTTGGCACGGGTTTTTTCAGGACAAATGCCATCATTGCGATTGGCCTGAAAAAATTGTGGACCCAAGACTGGTCAAATGGTCCCAAGACCGGTCAAACGGTTTGCAAAGGCTGAAAAATGGGACATGCACAGAGAAGCTTTTACACAAAAAAGCCTTTACACAGAAACTTTGACACACAGACGCGTTTACAGAGACACAGAGGAGTCTTGACACAGAAGCCTTTACGCACAGAAGCTTTTTTGCACAGAGTAGCTTTTACACAGAAGTCTTTACACAGAGAAGTCTTGAGACAGAGAAGCCTGTACACACAAAGGCTTTTACAGAGAGAAGCCTTTCGCACAAAGAAGTCTTGACACAGAGGAGCTTTTACGAGAGAAGTCCTTACACAAACGAGATTTACACGCAGAAGGTGTTACAGATAGACGTTCTTTCGGCGCACAGAAGCTTTAACACAGAGCAGCTTGTACACACAGAAGCTTTTACATAAAAAAGCCTTTACACAGAGAAGTTTTTCACACAGGAGCTTTTGCACAAGAAAACTTTTACACAGGAAAGCTTTTACACACAGAAACTTTCACACACAGAAGCTTTGTACACAGAGAAGTCTTTGCACAGAGGAGCTTTTGCACACAGAATCTTGTACACACAGACGCTTTCACACACACACAGGAGGTTTTACAAACAGACAACTTTACGGCGCACAGATTTTTTACACAGAGCAGCTTTTACGCAGCGAAGCTTGTACACACAGGGGGCTTTTTTACACAGAAGCTTTTACATAAGGTTTTTTTAATACACAGAAGCTTTTACACACAGAAACCTTTACACACAGAAGCTTTTACACACAGAAACTTTTACACACAGAAGGTTTTACACACAGAAGCTTTTAACACAAAAAAACCTTTAAACAAAGGAGCTTTTACACACAGACGGGTTTACACAGAGAAGTCTTTACACACGGAGGCGTTTACACAGGAAAGAGTTTACACGGAAGCGTTTACACAGAGTAGTTTTTACACAGAGAAATCTTTACACAAAGAAGTCTTGACACAGAGAAGCTTGCACACACAGAGGCTTTTACACACAGAAGCCTTTTACACAGAGCGGCTTTTTCACAGAGGAGCTTTTACACAGAGGAACTTTTACACAGAGAAGCTTGTACACTCAGAGGCTTTGACACAGAGAAGTCTTTTACACAGAGAAGCTTTTGCACACAGAAGCTTTACACAAACAAAACCTTAACACAGAGGAGCTTTTACAGACAGAAGCTGGTACGCAAAGAAACTTTCGCAAACAGAAACTTTTACACACAGAGCGCGTTTTACACAGAAGATTTTACACACAAGAGCTTTTACACCAAAAACCTTTACACAGAGAAGTTCTTGCCCACAGAAGCTTTTACTTGCAGAAGCTTTTATGCAAAGAAGCTTTTGTACAGAGAAGTCTTTACCCATCTTTTATCATGTCTCATTTTTCATGATCATTTGCCATCTGTCACCTTCATATATATCTTCGTTTTCATGCTCTTTTGGTCAGCTCCCTCTGTCGTTTAATTTTCATTTCGTTCTGTCCGTCCACGCTTCGTGCTCGCTCCCTCTGCGGCGAAGCAAACTAAACGAGAACGCAGAAATAGATAGCGACTAGACAGATGGGATAGAGTTAATTACATTAACAGAAATAGCGACTAGAAGACTGTAGGCGTAGCTGACACAGCATGCTGTGGTGAATCGTGGCCCCTGATACCATCAGTGCGCACGATGTTTAAGTAAAGATCTTACGTCGATTTCGTGCAGAGCACAGCTGGCCACACCCCAAGATTTTCAAGAAAAGGCGTGCTGTGTGCCGTCTTGCTTTTGGGTTCTCTGGCCCACCTTGTTTTGAAATACCAGTGGGTAGATGAGAAACACACACACAAATTTTGTGGATGTTGGTGTCTTCAGATACCTGAAAAAACAAATCCCGACAGGATCCAACGGGTAAATCGAGGATCATATCTCAGGTATACCAGGTATGGTTGTGATGGGTTTGCGACAGTGAAGGAATGGTTGTTCAAACAATGCTGAGTTGAGCATAGTTGAGCTGTTTCATGGTTCCGAGGTGATATGTTGTATACTGGATCCCACTGGTCTATCCTCCGGTAATCAGTTTTTGGCTAGCTGAGCTGGGAAAGTCCCGAACTAAATAGAGCTTGATAGCTAGGAAATCCATTGAACCAAATGCTGGATTTTCCATTGCTGCTGTGGATGGAAGAAATCCTGCACCAGTTGGTAGATGATTTATCCCATTATAATTGTAATCCCATTCATTATTTGCAGTGTTTCATAGTTACCATGTGTTACCAACTGGTGTAGGATTTCGCAACCATCCACAGTATGCGTAGCATCTATAAATACTATGCAACATCACATGCAATTTCAATGGAGCTCTAAATAGCTGGGAAATCCATATCAATTTTATAAATGCTGGATTTTCCAACGTTGGATTCCCGGGTTAGCTACAAGGTGGTGCCCCATAGTTAGCTAAGTTGGTTTATAACTCCCATAACTATGGTTTATGGCAGATATAACTATAGTTAATGGGGTTTATAAACCAACTTATAACTGGGGGGCACCATCCTGTAGACACAGGCAGATGAGATCGAGTTTTGGCTCGATGCTGCCGGCCATGCGCCGGTGGGGCCCGAGGTTTCGACTGGGCAGGTGGTACCGTTGGTACCCAAAGATAGGGTATAGATGGGTATACCCTCTGGTAATTTAACGTAGCTATTGAAAATGACCATTAATAGTGGATTTTCCCATTAAAAATGGTGATTTTCAATAGCTATGTTAAATTACCAGAGGGTAGTATAGATGAAATATGATGAAATAGATCGTATTTCCCGAAAACAATGATCTTTTTTATGGCGTATTTCAAGGGTATTCCCTTACAATAGATATCCCTTACATTATCTATACTGTTTCCAGAATTGTATATAGATGATATGTTCCGTATAACCAGGTGTCCAACTTTTCTGGTTTAGTAAGTGGTTGGTAAATAGACTTTTCACCCAGTTATAAATGGGATAAGCTACTGAATGAGGACTTAGTAACCAGGGTTGTTAACTCGTTACGATGATCCCCCAAGAAGAAAACTGGATTGTATAATAGGGATATGGCTATGAATCAAAACCCTGTACCCCTGGTGAACGCCAAAATAGCTGATTAATGGATGTTATTCCCCTAAATATGGTAATTATAGGAACGTGATAATAATGTTGGGGATACAATGGGAATATATCGTGGCGTGTATATACGTACATAATATATAACTATACATTTACATGTATATATGTATATATGTATTTCTGTCCATATGTATATATATATATATATGTATATATATATATGTATGTATATATATATGTATATATGTATATATGTATATATGTATATATGTATATCTGTATATATGTATATATGTATATATGTATATATGTAAAGATTCCTGCGATCGAGCCGCTGACGAGAGCAGCAACGTTTTTCGGAACTTTGTGCTGCGTCACGCAGGTTGACGAAATTCGGCAGCGATAGGGGACGAAATTCTCAATTCGCTGAAGATCACGACCCCGGCTCAACATTGATTGCTTGGTGGCTCATCCCACTTAGTAAGTGGGTTATAACCCCAGTGATTTACATGGGATAAGTAGGGTTAATCCACTTATAGCTGGGGTTATAACCCACTTACTAAGTGGGATGAGCCACCAAGTGGCGCGATGCTATACGAAGCCATTTCAACACTGTGAAATCTCTCAAGATTTCCAGGGACTGGCGAGAGCTTTTCAAGTTCATCACCTCCATTTGTCATTCGCAAGGCTGAGACTCTTTGGAGACGATTCAAAGAAATTCATTCGCCATTGGCTGAGAATGAGATTGACCTAGTCATGAAGGGGCCATTGGATTTCGGCAGTAAATTAGCATAGATAGCTGCCACTACAGAGTACGACAGCATCTGTCCGGACTATCAACCTCTTTGAGGTAGTCCAGCTGTATGCGCGGCACGAGCGTGACTCGTATGCCTGGTGAAAAAATGTATAAATGTATATAATAAATGTATATATATATATAGATAAACCAGCCAACAGTGTATGGTGTTTGGGTGTTTCCGGAAATGGCCTTTTGTTGCCCCACAATGGCCATTGAACATGAAGATCCACCAGCCATGGAGTCAAAACCTCAAAACCCACCATAAGTTGGGGTTGGGAGACAAGCCCCTTATACATGCCTTTTTTCCTGTAAGTGGAGCTGCACACCCAAGTGTGAGGTCTTTTTTATCTATAGCATCTTCGGTTCTTTTTTTTGGAGAGTTTATATACCCTCTGGTTATGACTAACATATGGGAAATGGCCCTAATCGAAAGTTCGATGGTTTACCGAACTTAAAAATAAAGTGGATCTTTCCATGGCAAACTGTGAATGTCATAACCAGATGGTATCTATAAAAAATGGTGATTTCATGGGATTTTCTATGGGTTTTAGCCTCAATGAAATAGTGATTTCATGGGTTTTGATAGTGATTTCATGGGATTTACTGGGAGATTTTGTGAGTTAATGAATGGTGATAAAAAACACATACCAAGTGGTGGTATAATGGGAATATCACCATGAATAACTGGGATTTTATCATGGATAGCAACCCTGGACATTTTGAATGGCACAACTTTGTAAAAACCCAATGAACAACCCATCGGATGTTCAAGCTATAACTGTAGCCCATCAATCCCACTGGGGACATTCCGTATATATAGCCCACAACACATGACATACGCGCATATCACACAGTTTTTTGAAGTTGGTTAGAAATATTGCATTATATATTGCATGATATCCCAATTTTCATTGGTTCAAGAAATTTTTCCATATATTCCACATATATATATAATTATATATATTCAAATATATTCAAATATTCCATGTATAACCCACATATATGGTCAATGCACTCCCCAGGAAACTCCCATGCGTTGCCACAGGGCCGCGCGCGCGTGGAGCGCTACCGGGCGGCGGCCGCCCAGGCGGCCGCAGAGCAGGCGCGGCGCGCGGCGGGCGACACGGCGTCGCTGGAGATGGCGAGTGCCGCGGACGAAGCAACGAAAAAAAAAACCAGGGATGGTGAACAGAACTAGTGATTTAACTTAACCATGAAACATTCGGTTTTGAGAATGGAAAACCGGATTCAACCAGCAAAAGTTGGAATAGAATGGGGACTTAACCATCAAAGATTGGGATTTAACCATGAAAATTGGATACAATGGAGATTTTAATCATCAAACAATGGGGGATTTAATGATGGCCACAATACTATCAACAATATCTAAACATGACCAATATCCAAACTGAGGTGATGCAGCGGTCGTTTTTTCGCCCATGCAGTGGAAGGATGCAGGGGGAGGGTGAGTTCAGGTCGAGTAGCCACTTGAATGACATCCCCCCTGGTGATTTGTGCTGATTGGGGCTTGTGCTACCTGGTTTACTACTTGTTTCAGGCTTTTTTCACCAGGAATTGTAAATGATAAGTAACAATTTAGTTCACCCACAAAAATAAGCAGGATAACCTGCTGGAAGTACTAACCAGGTTTATTAACCACTTCCCAAGTGGATGATCCTCCGAAGAGCGGATTTCGAAGGTTTAGCGACGACAGACGGTTTGCACAGTGCTTACTTGGATGTGTATCAGTCAGTAATTGGGTTCCTCACTATGTATATATGTATTGTATGTGTATATATGTATACATGTATACATATGTATATGTGTATATGTGTATGTATATATGTATATGTGTATATGTGTATGTATATATGTATATGTGTATATGTGTATATATGTATATGTGTATATGTGTATATATGTATATGTGTATATGTGTATATTTGTATATATGTATATATGTATATATGTATATATGTATACTTGTATATGTGTATATGTGTATATCTGTATATATGTATATATGTATATATGTATATATGTATATATGTATATGTATATATGTATATATGTAAATATGTATATATGTATATATATGTATATATGTATATATGTATATATGTATATATGTAAGTATGTAAGTATGTATGTATGTATGTAAGTAAGTATGTATGTATGTATGTATGTAATGTAATGTAATGTAATGTAATGTAATGTAATGTAATGTAATGTAATGTAATGTAATGTAATGTATGTATGTATGTATATATGTATGTATGTATGTATGTATCTATGTATGTATGTATGTATGTATGTATGTATGTATGTATATATGTATATATGTATATATGTTTACGTGTATATATGTATATCTGTATATATGTATTTGTGATATATATATATGTATGTATATATATGTATATGTATATATATATATATATGTATATCTGTATATATGTATTTGTGATATATATATATATGTATGTATATATATGTATATGTATATATATATATATGTATATCTGTAAATATGTATATATGAATATGTATATATGTATACGCGTATATATGTATATATGTATATATGTATATATGTATATATGTATATATGTATATATGTAAATATGTTTACGTGTATATATGTATATATGTATATATGTATATATGTATATATGTATGTATGTATGTATGTATATATGTATATATGTATATATGTATATATGTATATATGTATATATGTATATATGTTTACGTGTATATATGTATATATGTATATATGTATATGTGAAATATATATATATATGTATATGTATGGGGGTTTCTTAAAATGGCGGATCCCCAAAATGGCTGGTTTATAATGGAAAATCCTATTAACATGGCTGATTTGGGGAATCCAGATTTTAGGAGACATCCATATATATATATATATAATTTATGACTTATGATTTGCAAGCAATAGACAGTGATAAAAACCAACATATCCCCAGCCGTGTATGGACCTCTACTGTATGTATATGAACGCAGCTTACTCAGCACCGAGCCAAAACCATAAAACGTGGGAATTAGCGACCGCCATTTCCAAATAGATGGAAACAGTATTTTTCCTTCTGGTTTTGATGGGCTTTTACTTTTCTACCTATTGGATACAACCCTTCTATGATATGGTATTCCATGATATTGTTTATATATATATACATACATACACTGTACACGTTCCATACTCATACTCATGTGACATCATGTGACTCATTGGTTCTCCTTATACCCTCTGGTAAACTTACAAAAAACTATGGAAAATCACCATTTTCAATGGGAAAATCCACTATTTCTATGGTCATTTTGAATAGCTAACTGTAACAAATTACCAGAGGGTATATTCGAACATGTTCCTCCAGATTGCCGGAACTAAAAAAAATTGCCCCTGGTCCCAGGCGAAGCAAATGTTCAACCTGAATAAAAGATACCCACAGGGTGCTGCCCCAGTGAACGGAATCGCTAAGTTGATTTACCCTCTGGTAAACTAACAGCTTGCTATTGAAAATGGCCATAGAAATAGGGGATTTACCCATTAAAAATAGTGATTTTCCATAGCTATGTTAGTTTACCAGAGGGTACTACTATAACTAGGGTTTATGGGGATATATCATGATATATAGTTAGATGGGTTTTCAAAGCAACAAAATAACACTAACATAACAGGGGGGCACCACACTGGATGACACCCGACCCGCCGACACCTCAGGGCACCTCTGGTAATTTAACAGAGCTAAGGACAATAACTAGTGTTAATGGGTAAATCATTGAACTAAATGAGCCATCTATACCATAGCAAACTCTTTAATCCATCACTTTATCGATGATTTTCTGAGCTATAAGCCTCAGTAGATTTTCTGCCACGTTTGATGACAGCCAGAGGCTACCCCAAATAGTTGATCTTCATTTTGTGTGTGCCGTGGTCAAAATTATTCGTGTCACCGGATAACTTGCTCAATGCCTGGGTGGCATCTGGATTCCACTTGGACGACCATACCAGAGAATAAACAATGTCTTGAACATGGGAGATGTATATATGTATTGAAAAGTGGGGGTTCCATAAATGGGGTACCCCCATAGCTGGTTGGTTCATAATGGAAAATCCCAATCTAAAATGGATGATTTAGGGGTACCCCCCATTTTAGGGAACCCCCGAAAACTTGAAAAGGATGGTTGCGAAAATCCTGCACCAGGCAGGGCACAGTAAAGGGATTCCGTCATGAAACACTGTAAATCATAGGACTATAATGAGATAAAATCATCTACAATGTGGGCCCCCCCAGAGATGTTTGTTGGTTTATAAATCCCATAAACTAGTTCGTTATAGGTATCATCAACCATAGTTATTGAAGTTTTGTGGCCCCCGCCTGAACGCTGTAAACGGGGGCCCCAAAAAACGAAATCACATGGGGATGGATTCATCTCACATCTGCGGGAGATGATATTTCAGTAGACTTGCTTGTGGTTTACAAGCTATATATATATAATTAAACATGTATATACATATAATCAAACATATGCAATATATATATATATATAGTTATAATTATAATTCATTATATATATAATATAATATACAAACATACAATAAGACAAAAATACATATAAATCCCATGTCTAAATCAGCTGTGAGTGGTGTATTTCATATGCCGAACTAGCTGCTTCGTCCTTTCGTCCCACACCGTGGCCGCCGTCGCCCGCCACACGTGGCGCGCGCCAAACTCGTCGCCGTCCAGGAGTCCTTTCAACAGGAAAGCGAGGGACTTCTCGAAGCCTCGGAGCTCGAGGACTTGGAGAAATTTATGGAGGCGATCAATCCCTCAGGCGGGAACCTTGGGGAAACTGGAAAAAGCTGGAGGTTTTGGGAGATGGGTTTGGTGTGGCCATAAAGTATATTCTAATAATTATATATAATCTATATGATCATTTGGATCTATAAGTTTATATAATGTTTATATAGTTTATAGATTTGGGTCTATTATTAATTATATATAATATGTGTGTATATACTATATGTGTGTATAGATGTTTGTTCGATATCTGATTTAGCTGGCAAAAGAATGAACGTCTGAAACTTCCAAAATCTTCCAAATACAAAGAAACCTCAACGGATCTCATGATCCATACTTGGTGGCTCATCCCACTTAGTAAGTGGATTATATCCCAGTTCTAAGTGGATAAACCCTACTTATCCCACTTATAACTGGGATATACCCTCTGGTAATTTGTTACATGGCTATTGAAAATGGCTATGTATAGTTGATTTTCCCATTAAAAATAGTGATTTTCCATAGTTATGTTAGTTTACCAGAGGGTAGTTATTAGTGATTAGTGGGAAATTACTAATCATCCAACTTACTGATGATTAGTAAGAAAAACTAATAATGACTAATATGTGGGAAACTGATGGTAATCATTCGTGATGATTAGTAGTGATTGGTGATGAGTAGTAATTGTGAATGATTGTGATGACTTAATGGTGCTTCGCACGGAATTGGGAAATGGGATGATTGTTCATAGTTATTATGGATATGGACTGGATCCTTTGGATCATTCCCCCATTCCCTATCAAGCACCAGAAAGATGATGATAATGATGATGTTTTCCTCCAGACTTTCCACGGGTCCAACTCTATGACATAGGATTGCGGTTCAAAAAATGGTCATGGAAGGTATCCACCCTTCGAACATGCCAAGTATGCAATATATATATATATATGTTCGAAGGGTGATACATCCATTCTTGATGTTAATTATTATAATGGATCATAAGTATATATATACATCCATTAGTTTATATATATATCATTATATATCCATTATATATCTATATAAAATATTATAATTTACCCATATATATATATGATCCCCATTAACTAGTTCGTGAAATATATACCATAAACCCAATCGAATTCAGCCACTTTTTTGAGGCAACTGAAGCCTATCGACTGGGGGCCCCAGGTCGCTCATTGACCTCCGACGAGGTGAAAGCTGCCGCGGGCAATCCCCAGCTGGGACTCTCCAGACACCTGCGAGGTGGGAAGGTGGGAGGTGGGTGGGAACTATGGAAAAAACCATAGGGATTTTGTAGGGTTTTTATAGGGGTTTATAAGATTTGTTAGGGATTTACAGGATTTTATAGGGATTTTACATGGAATATCAAGGATTTTTATGGTGATTTTATATGGAATATAAAGGGATTTTCATTGAAAATAGATGGAACATATGGGAAAACATGGGAAACTGTGGGTGTTTCCTATTGATTCTTTTGAACATGATTTGAACATACCCTCTGGTAATCAAACATGGCTGGCTGGTGGTGTCTAGCTGGGAAAATCATGAAAATCATGTACCAATGGTAGATTTCCCTCTGGTGATTTGTTGCATAGCTTTGGAACATGGCCCATTACAGATTTTGATTTTCCATAGTTATCTGGTTGGTGGTTTCAACCATTTTTTATTTTCCATTTCATATATGGGATGTCATCCTTCCCATTGACTTTCATATTTTTCAAGATGGTGATTGCACCAACCAGTTATGTTAAAATACCAGAGGGGTTGGTCTCCGAAAACATAGGATGTCTTTGATTGAACATAGCCTCGAACGTAACCAAACCTGGCTGGCAGTTTTCCTTGAACTAAATGGTGGATTTTCAGCTGCCACGATCACCGGAGAGTAGATGGAACAGGATGGAACATTTGATGGAAATGGAATATGCTTCTATTGGATTGGAATACATGGGGGTGGGTCAAAACCTATTATTATCAATTCTAATGGGATGAACATCCATTTACCAGCTATTTTGATGTTCACCAGGGGTACAAGGTTTTGACACACTGCCACATGATGGAAACTTGGATGGATTCTTTTTCTGTTTTTGGTGTAAATTATGAAGAAGATGGGATGTTAACCAATGAGACAAAACCCGCATGTTTCAACACCTTATCATATCATATCCCCTATTTGCTTTGAACAACGATCAATGATGTTTTATAGTTTCAAAAAACCAGTTGTATAAGTTGGGTAGAGCAATTACTCCAGCCATTCTAGCCCCATCCCGGCCCTATCCCATCTTACTTATGTTTCAACGATGTACATGTTTAAAAATATGGATATCAACAGCATGATACAGATATTTTGTTATGATATGCGATGATATACCTACACAAAGAATAGTTACTATATATATATACACATAGAATATAAAATATCATACATATATATATATATTATATACGTAAACAGCGTAATATCTGGATATTTCCGTTTGACCAAGCCATGTTTTTGTACCAACTGTCCTTGTTGTCGCAACGATGGCGCCGTGAGGCTTGGTGGCCAAAGTCACCTCCGAAGCCATGAAAGATGCCGCGGGTGGAGGCGAGGGGACGGCGGGGGAAGGTCATAGATCTGGTAAATAAACATAGGAAAACCATAGGAAAACCATAGGAGAATGGTGGTTTACTGGAACTTAATGGGATTTAATAGGATTTAATGGGATCTAATGGGATTTACCATCTGGTAAATTAACATAGACCCTGGCAGATAGGGTTTGGAAGATTAGTTTCCATTAAAACTAGGCTATTTTCAGGGTCTATGTTAATTTTCCAGATGGTATCTATGAAACATGGTGATTTACCCTCTGGTTATTTAACACAGCCATGGAAAATGGCCCATTTATAGATGGTTTACCCATTAAACATGGTGATTTTCCAGATGGTATCTATAAAAAATGGTGATTTCATGGGATTTTCTATGGGTTTTAGCCTCAATGAAATAGTGATTTCATGGGATTTGATGGTGGTTTGATGGGATTTCCCACATAAGCACCATGAAATATCCCCTGATTTTTTGAGGATCATGACATTCCCAGAATCTGAGGTGGAGCACCTGCTGACGCAGCGCCTGCGGCGCAGCCTGCGTCTTCAACAGCGTCTACATTGGCTGTGCCAGCTGAGCCTTCGGTGAAGTGGCTGGCTATGGCTGTAATGATAGTAAAGCAAACCAGCCATATGGGTATGGGTCAATACCTATAGATACCATTTTTAGTGGGTTATTCACATCCATTTACCAGCTATTTTGGGGTTCACGGCACGGTACCAGGGTTTTGACCCATCCCCATATAAATTGATGGTTTATACAACCCACTCATGGTAAATTTCGGGTGGATCCTATTGCTTTACGAACATAAAAATGGTGATTTAATACGAAGAAAAATAGTTGTATAATGGAGATATGGGGATATGATGGGCATAACTATCAACCCAACTACCCTCTGGTGAACTAACATAGCAATGGAAAATGGCCATAGAAATAGTGGTTTTTCCCATTAAAAATGGTGATTTTCCATTGCTATGTTAGTTCACCAGAGGGTACAAGGTGCGGGAGAGAGCATCCGGCGTGAGTTTCTTTGATTTAGCTAGGGATGTAATGGTGATATTTGATGGGGATTGAACTAGGGATACAATTTTACAATGGGAGAATCAGGGTTGTGAGATTTTTTGCCAAAGAACAATTTTACGAGGACAAAGAGGGAACATATGCACCCTCTGGTAATTTAACATAGCTATTGAACATTGCCATTTATAGTGGATTGTCCCATTAAAAATTGTGATTTTCCATAGTTATGTAACAATTTACCAGAGGATAATTTCTGGTTTCTCCAACTATGAAAAAGATAAATCAGGTATATTCTGGCTGCTGGCCTTAAAAAATTTATCGGCATCGAGAGTGTTGGAAGTGGGCAAACCCACATGTTGCAGAAAGCGAGAGATGAAGATGTTATTTCATTGAGTCATGACGGGTGATATTGGCCAACAATTGAAATATGGTACCCGCTGGTAATTTAACATAACTATGGAAAATCACAATTTTCAATGGGAAAACTCACTATAAATGGCCATTTTCAATAGCTATGTTAAATTACCAGAGGGTATCTATGTTAGCAGGTCGATAACATTCTATGGACATGGTCTCCATAGAAGGATTTGTTGGAGAGGTCTTCAGAGTCGGATGAATCAATGAATGTCCATTCTATAGCCAGCAGGTATGCATCCAATGTGGAAGATGGTTATGGCTTGATAATCAATCATACTTGGTGGCTCATCCCACTTAGTAAGTGGGTTATAACCCCAGTTATAAATGGGATAAGTATGGTTAATCCACTTATAACTGGGGTTATAACCCACTTACTAAGTGGGATGAGCCACCAAGTAGTCTCAATGGCTCATGTGAGTTTCTAAGACTAAGTTTGGCCTGAAATTTGTGCCAAAGTAGTTTGGTTTGCAACACCTGGAACTGTTGCTGACTTCCCCTGGAACGGAAGTTTTGACCCTACCAGTATGGGCCCCCAATAGAAAGCCATGGGCTGGCTTTAACATGTTGTACCATGCGTAACCCTGCAATTCTCTGGCTGTTTCATCCGGAGGGACGCCATGTTAATGTCAAGTGATAGAATTTCCTCAGCTACTGTGCGTACCTATAGACGTTTATAGATCTTCCACCGCTTCTAGACTGTTCCAGGTGAATTGTGATCAACTGTATCGCTTATGGTGATTGTATGTTCTTTTTTCCCCCATCATAGCCCCGATTTTGTTTGTTTGTTGCTATGGCCCATATAACAAACATCACTGCGTTTATATAGTGGGTTTATAACTACATATAAAAGGTATATAATGGGTTTACAATGGGTTTATGGCCTCACTTGGTATCCCCATTTATCCAAGCCAAAACATGGACCTTCCACTGCCGCGTTGCTTCATTTTAGGAGGTGACGCTGGAACCAGTGGAAGCTTCGCCAGACAAGGAAAAGCAGGACCCACTGGGATCATAAGTGAATTATATGAATCTAAGATCTGACATATAAGTATCTATAATAAGTAAGTATCTATATAATTCTATATCTAAGATATAATATGAGAATGTATATATATTATATCTATACATATTTGTCAGTTGATATCTAAGATATCTATATCATACATTACATATCTATAAATATACGAATAGATCATGTTCATATCTATTCATATCTGAAATTATTGATAGTGAATCACTTATTATTTTTCAACTTTTGCGGTAGCGTTCCATTTTGTTGCAGGTCACCCATGTTTAAAAAGGAGGGGCACTTCTGATGAGGCATCCCAGTTCTGGTTTCAATGACGGTCATAACCACTGTTTATGTCACTGGATTGGTTTAAGGGAAAATTTAGGAAAAGGACAATCCAATATTTAATGATACTTAATGGGAAAATCTAGGGTTTCCGGTTAAGATGTTCCCTTAAACCAATCCGTTGTTAATGAGATATACCCTCCGGCAATGAGTCACATGGTTTGCCCGAAAATCCCCCATTTCTTACAGATGACGTTAGCGAACCAAACCTCCATGGTTAGTTCAGGATTTTCCAGTGCTATGCTCGAAAAAACAAGAGGGTACCCCAGCAAGATATGGCTTATGTCCGCCACTTTCGATGCCTGGGATAAAGCCCCAAGTCCTTACCAGGCTGTTGAACGAGCCTCTAGATTTGTAGATACTGTGTATAATGCACAATGAACATATATATATATATGTATCATGTATAGTCTGCAGCATAAGAACATGATATTGCTACGAGATGATATACGGATCTCCCTCTTCATATCATCTACTGCATCACTCCACAACTTGCCCCCGTTGCCACGTCGCCACAGGAGGAGTCGAAAGGTGCCTCCGTGGCTTCCGCGGCGGCGAAGGTGCAATGTGGAGGAGTGAGAATCATGTGAGACAAGGACTCATGGGATATAAATCATGATTCCTCTCAATGGGATAATGGGGATAATGTGAAATATTCCCTTTATAGAGGGATATTCCCATTAATAATCTCAATATTACTAATATAGAGGGATATTATATAATGTGAAGGACTCAATTATAATGAGATAATGTCATATAATGGGAATATAATGGGATATTATTGGATATGGAATAACCCTATTGATGGTTTTTGAAAAAACAGTATGAATGACTGTCAACTGACAATAATGGGAGTATAATGAGAATATCATGGGATTTAAATCATGGGAATATAATGGGTAATGGATGGATATGGTATAACCCTATTGATAATATAAACTCATTAATAATGGGAATATCATGGAAATATAATGCAATTGTGAGTTTTTTCCCAATTGTTTTCTTTACAATGGTAAACAATAATGGGAATATCATGGAAATATAATGGGATAATGAACCATCACCACATGGTACAACCAACAACAATACTGGGAATATATGTAATGGGAATATATTATGGGAATATAATGGGAATATAATGGGATATTATTGGATATGTTATAACCCTATTGATGGTTTTTGATAAAACAGTATGAATGACTGTCAACAATGGGAATATAATGGGATATTATTGGATATGGTATAACCCTATTGATGGTTTTTGATAAAACAGTATGAATGACTTTCAACCACCAATAATGGGAATATAATGAGAATATAATGGGAAATCCTATATGCCCGAGCCGGTTATCCAATCCTAATGTGGGAAAACCTGGCTGCCAATTTTGCAACTACCATGACTGGGGTTGGAATCCCAGCCAAAGTGGAAATGACTTGGGGATGGTTTATGGCTTTAGGTTTACCACACTCATGTATGCTTTATCCAAGTTTGGGGTATCATTTTTTGTATCTGATTCTTAATTTCATACCCCAGTGAAATGTCAACGTTGGTTTATGTTACCCCCATGAGAACTAGTTGGATATATCTACCCTGAACCCAAGAATGATTGAAGTTGTGTCTACCAACTTAGCGATTTAGCCCCAGGAGCACCACCTTAAATCTAGGTTTTGGGTGTGACTTTTAAAGGTACATGTTTTTATTGGTGGATGCGATATGTTTGATGAGAGCGTTCAACACATTTTGATGGTGAAGCCACGATCCTCCAAGAACCGTTTCTTTTGTCCTTAGTCTTCAGTGGTATTCGTCGAGTCATAACAGGGTGAGTGTGTGGGTGTGGCTGCACGTGCGGAAGGGTGTGGAAGCACCGCGGAAGGAAAGTTTTGCGGAAGTGTCGTGGAAGCTATAAAAAGAGAGAAAACCATAGAAAAACAATGAACAAATTGGAAAAACATCCTTCACCTAGGTCGCGGAAGCAAATCATCCAAACCTACCAACGCGGAAGCACGTGGAAGCGATATATAAAGAGATGAGCTCGCGGAAGCTACGTTTTCATCCGCGCAAGGTTTGCGGCAGCGGTGCTAAGTAGGGAAACAAAATAGCGATGTGGATGAAAATTCTTGACCCCCGAAATGGATGCTACAGTTATACAGGATGGGGCCCCCCAGTGATGTGAACGTTGCTTTATAAACCATGATAATCCCCCTTCACTAGTTCGTTATATCTACCATAAACCATAGAAATCAACCACTTATAAACCACTTATAAACCAACTTAGCTATCTTGGGGGCCCCATCTTGTATGGTTGCACACTTGTGACCTCGCCCGTGCCCATGGCGCAGGCAGAGTCGGTGAAACCACCCGCTGCCTCAGAGCCAGCGAAAAGCGCCGCCGCAACCGCCTCCGCAACGGCGGCGAAGGCGGGGTCGCTGTGATGATCATGGGAATGATAAGGAGAACTTGCCAACCTACTTGGTGGCTCATCCCACGGCTCGTAAGTGGGTTGTTATAACCCACTTACTAAGTGGGATGAGCCACCAACCTACCTACCAACCCAGGGGAAAATCATGGAGACTTGCACAATGGGAAATTTATGGAATCTTCATGGATAGGAATTTCATGGGAATATGGTGAATTAAAACTATCCAAGTTGTGATTTCACTCGGGAAAGACGGGGACATCATGGGGATTTAGCTAGGGGATTTGGTTATAAGTCTTTTACTGGTTGGTGGTTTGGAACATGAATGTTATTTTCCATATATTGGGAATAATAATCCCAACTGACTAATATTTTTCAGAGGGGTTGAAACCACCAACCAGTTATAACTCTTTTATGGTTTTAATATGAATGTTCCTTAGCCTTTAGTGGGGGACTAAACGCTTATTCCCATCAACGGATCTGCTTCAGTGCTACCTGCAGCGCAAGCAACTGAGCTGCTGTGTATTCCACATGACTTGAGCTAAGTTTCACTTGAGTTTCACTTGAGACTTTTTCACATAATATATATAATTATATATAATATACATAATATATATAACATACATAATATGTATAATATACATAATATACATAATATATACACATAATATACATAATATATATAATATACATAATATATATAATATACATAATATATATACAATATACATAATATATATATAATTTATTAATATACATAACATATATATAATATACATAATATATATATATATATAATATAATATATATAATATACACAATATATATATAATATACATAATATATATAATATACATAATATATATAATATATATGTATATAATATATAATATACATAATATATATATAATATATATATATATATATAATATGATAGATATAATATACATTATATATATAATATACATTATATATATAATATACATTATATATATAATATACATTATATATAATATACATAATATATATAATATACATAATATACATAATGTATACGCATAATATACATTATATATAATATACATAATATATATATATAGATATATAACATAGTATCCAGTATGTGTCACGTAATCCTACCAGACTGAGACTGTGATCAGCGCAGGACTCAAAAGCTGCCCCTCCAACAGATGCCGCGAGCACGGCGAAGGTGGGGCGGACGGTGATTCCCTGGGATGGCGAGACACGAAAAATGGCCCCGGACTTGGGGACTTGAAACAGGTATAGTATCCACCCATTTTTCAATGGGAATTTCAGGATCCTAAAAATGGTGATCTAATGGTGATTAATGGTGATTTAATGGGATTCAATGGGATTTCATGGTGATTTAATGGGATCTAATGGTGATTAGTGGAGGTTTAACCTCTGGTAAACATACAAAAAACTACGGAAAATCACCATTTTTAATAGGTAAATCAACTGTTGATGAGCCATTTTCAACAGCTATGTTAAATGCCCCGGGGGTTGAAATGGTATGGAACACATCGTTCTTCTGTCTTTGTTCTTGCGGTTCTTGCTTATTGGGATCAGACGCTATAAACTTTGTTCTTCAGATAGTATACCCTCCGGTGTCCTCAAACATGGCTAGCTGGGAAATCCCCGAACTAAATGGAGCTTTGATGGGAACATCATCGAACTAAATGGTGGATTTTCCAGCTAGCCATGTTTGACGACACCGGAGGGTACAGTATCAATATGATAATCCCAAGTTCTGGGGCTATGAAATGTATTTTGTGTATGTTTTTATCTATTTTGTACCCATCCTCAGGTCTCAATTTTTGTCCTGTCGATCTGTGGTTATGTCATGTCATTATGTTGGTGAAAAAGGACATGATAGGATTATATGTGCCAGTCATCAAAGACGCACTAAGCATCACTAAGCCATACTAAGCCTGTCTATGTGCATGTAATTGTATGATATTGTATGTAGTTATGTATATTGTACATGCATATTCACATATTAATCTATATACATACGTATAGATAAAATTAGGAAGGTGTATCCCACTTATATATATACACATATGATACCATTATATCTGGATGAATTATGTTATGACCTCACGTCGTGACGTCGCTGGAATGATGGTTAGTAAGGGGAATCATTCCCCAATTGCCTTAACGTATGTATATAAACTATTTCAAACTAGTGTTTTTTTAATCAGCCAGATTATAATGCATATATATATATATATCATTATACATATGTAGATATCAATATGTATTGTTCTGTCTGCTGATAGCATATATACCTATATAATGTTGTATATACACATATTTTCAGGCATGTACATAGAGATCATCACACATATATGCATATATATATATATATACATGGACATCCTTATACGCATGTACTTGTATATATGCAATTATATATATATATAAACATATATTAAACATACAAGTATGTATATATATATATAGGCAATTGTCTGTATATACACAATTATAGGCACATGTTGAAACTAGCACGCCAGCTCTAGGTAGAGCCGAAACCGTCTGCCCTCGACTTAGCGGCTGCTATCGCGACCACAGCAGCCAAGGCGGCGTTTTTTTGTGTTGCCCACGGCTCTGCAACATGTCGATTGACAGAGCTTTCTAAAAGTGGAGTGAATCTATTAGGAACACTGAAGGTTTAAGTTTCCAGCCCACCAACACATAAAATATCATAAAATAATATAAAATACATATATATATACTATACGATGATATATCCATGATCAGCAGCATAGATGAGAGTTTGTCCACCAATCGACTCCTACAAATGTAGCAAATGAGAGACTTCTTGGAAGTGCAGTTCCAGTTATAAGTGGATCTATAACCATAGTTGTAGGGGCCCCATATTCCAACTTTTCGGGGTTAACCAAACCATGGCTACACCCTCAAGTGCACCCCCAGACTTTGGACGTAGTGGATTCCAGAAGTTCGTAATGTGGGTAAGACAATGTTATAAACCATCCCCAAAATCACCATAGATGGCTGATAGTTTTACCATTTCCAGTCATGGATGGTTTATGACATTGTCTCAACCACATTAGTGGTCTGAAAATAGGTACCCAAATCCCATGGTTGATCACCTATGGCCGACCTCAAAATGGCCCCTATCTTGGGGTATAACCTGAATTCCCCGTGCAATTTTAGATCATATTGATGGGAAATGAGCTTCGATCCCCCATCGGCGCCATTATGACACCCTATCTTCAGACAAATCCATCCATATATAACCCAGCCATATATACATAAATAGATTTAGACATAGTTAGATGTTCGGCAGGGGCGGAAGTGGTCTTTCTCGGCCGGCAAACTTCTTTGCCGCTGAAAGCATGCTGCGATCGTGGGAAAAATGAGGGGTGACCTACCAACCCAATGGAAAATCAGAGAGATTTGGCCATTTGCTATGGCAATGGTTGTCTTTTTTGGTTGGAATTTCAGGGATGTTTTATGTTCTTGGAGGTTGGGTAAGTTGATGCATCCTACCAAAAATTAGGGGACATGGAATTTCGCTGCAACGCATATACCATCCATAAAACTAGAATTTACCGCCAATTACATCCATGTACTATATAACCTTAGATATTTACATCCAAAAAAAGGGATTCTTTACTATCGCTGTGCTAACATTGATCTTAGATCGTGGTTTATGCCACCCACAAGGTGGTGCTCCCCAAACGTTATAAATTGGTTTAGATTCACCCCATGAATACTATAGATATATCACCAACAAAAACCATAGTGAAATTGGAGTTATAAACCAACTGAACTCTATCTAGGAGGCACCACCTTGCATTTACCCTCTGGTAAACTGTTACATAACTATGGAAAATCACCATTTTATAGCTGGGTAAAGCCACTATTTCTATGGCCATTTTCAATAGCTTTTTGTATGTTTACCAGAGGCTAACCCATTATAATCCCCATTAACTATAGTTATATCTACCATAAACCACAATTAAACCATCTATAAATGGTTGTGAAAATCTGTATGGGAAACGGGATTCTCTGGGACCAGCCACAAACGCACAACGATGCGCGTGCTACGCGAGCCGTACCAGGCTCCGGTGGAAGAAGAGGCGCGCAGCTGGCGACGCCGCGGCGTGCAGAGCTGGTTGCTACCGTGGATTTTTTCGTGGTGTTTTTTTTAATAATCCCATTAAAAATAGTGATTTTCCATAGTTATAGTGGATTTTCCCATTAAACAAATTCCAATTTTCAATAGCTATGTTAAATTACCAGAGGGTACCCTCTGGTAAACATACAAAAAGCTATTGAAAATTGCCATAGTTATAGTGGATTTTCCCAGCTATAAAATGGTGGATTTTTCCATAGTTATGTAACAGTTTACCAGAGGGTAATATAAGTGGTCATGAAATGGGTAGAATATATTTTGAGGATCATCAGGATCATCCCATAAATTGAGTACGTGCTTAGTGTGCTTAGTGTGTGTGTGTCTTTTTATGAATGGATTGGTTTAAATTTGCAGGAAAGCCCCATATTTAATGGGAAAATCTATGGTTTCCTGTAAATTTTCCCTTAAACCAATCCATTGATTTTAGCCACTTATAAATGATCCACTTATCATGGGGACTTGTTGGCCGGGAAAATTCACTGATCCTCCAGTCGTAGTGCCCCTGATCCTCAGCGAAGATGGTTTATAGCTAGGCGAATGATTGGAATTATGGCAGATATATTGAACTGACTAGACATATATACTGGTTGGTGGTTTGGAACATTTTTTATTTTCCCCAATAGTTGGGATGATGATCCAATCTGACTAATATTTTTCAGGGGGGTTGAAACCACCAACCAGCATATATATATATGATATGGGTTTGTAAACCAACTTATAGGAGGCACGTAATGGGTGCTAAACTTATCGGAAACTAGACCAACTTGTGACCATGGGCACATATATATGTATAAAAATCACATGCAGTTGTATTACACCCTGTTATCTAGTTTGATATATCTACCATAAACCCAACAGTGGAGTTATGTTCACCAACTTAGCCAACGAACATTTGGGGCACCGCGAATCCGAAATGGGTCGACATTGGGATTTTAGATCGAACCAGGTGGAGCCGTACCCAAGTGACTTGCGCTACAAAGTTGGGATAAACCTGGGTGGCACCATTGGCACCATTGGCACCATTGGCACCAAAAATCATTGATGCTTGGTGGCTCATCTCTGGTTTTGCTAGTGGGATAAGTAGGCTTAGTCCACTCAAAAAACTAATGTCAACCCTGGATTAATAAACCCCGTTTACGGCTGTGAAAAATTGGGGGAATACCATAAAAAAGCATCAGATGAAATGACGAAATAGGAGGAGTACCCCCCAAATTAATAAACCATGGTTGATTAATCCGGGGTTGACATTATCAATGTGGATATCAATGGATTACCCTCTGGTAAACATACAAAAAGCTAACATAGCGAACTGGAAATTCACCATGTTATAGCTGGGTAAATCCACGATTTCTATATCACCATTGAAAAAATAGCTATGTAACAGTCATTACCAGGCTGGGTAACGACAAGTGGGGCATGGATTGATCTGGGAAAACCATGGAAAACCCAGGCTATGGGAACGATTGATCTGGGAACCCAAGTGAGGAGTTCCACCGTTCCACCATTTCCAGTTGGATCTCTTAAGATGGGTGGCCCCGAAACCATTGAAATGACACATGAGTTGAATATTTTTAAGGGTTCCCTTATTTTAAGAAACTACCAAACAAAAAGTCCGTATGTTGAGATTGGAGGCTTCACAGATTAAACGCATTCGCGCATTCGCCCCATAGAAGTCACAATAAACTTGTGATACCTTTAAAAAAGTGACAGAACTTTATAGCAACCCCCAACATCATGAGATAGTGGTATTTCAAAATAACTATCAATAGTAACCCCCAACAAAATATTACAAAATTAACCAACAACTTTTGAAATTGTAAAATCGGGGTTACTATTAGTGAAGAGAAAACAACGGTTGAGCGAGCTACCACCAATTGAAGATACAAACAAACACGGTTGGGTAATGATTGTGCTTGAACATGTTTCAACATTTTTTGTTTTTAAAGGGGGCTTCAAGAGTTTTCACGTAGTGATATAGTATGATATAGTTACTATAGTTGATAAATGATGAGTTCGGAGGTCACATGACTGTTTAATACTGTTTATGTATTGGGGATTTATCAACTATATCTCTACATTAAGTAGATTTATCAACTCTTTACGATCGTTTATGGGGAATTTTTACACTCCCTGACCGGGAGGTCTCTATGAACCAACCATTGCAGGCGGAAGAGGACGCATTCTTCACGAAAGATGCAACTTGGACGTGCCAGAAATTGGGGCGAAGGACCACGATTGGAAAATAACCACTTGCTTGGTGAGAGGTACCCTCCGGTCAACTAAGATAGCTATCGAAACCACCATTTTCATAGGTAAATAATCTATAGATGGGTCATTTTCTACAGCTAAGGTAGTTTTCTGGAGGGTAGTTTCATGGATAAATTTGATGATGATCTCACGTTCGGTCACTGTAATGATGGCGAAGGAATTGTAAATTTTCCTATTCTAAAGTCGCTACGAACTTTGAGTTTAGTGAAATGCGAAAATCTATCAAGATACCCTCTGGTAAACATACAACAAACTATGGAAAATCACAATTTTTAATAGGAAAATCCACTATAAATGGCCATTTTCAATAGCTATGTTAAATTACCAGAGGGTAAATGGAGTATTCACTAAAGAGTTATCCTCTTGGAATCTAGCATAACTATGGAACATCACCATTTTTACAAGCTCAATCACCTGTAAATGGGCTTTCCCATAGCTACTAACATGATCATTTTCCAGTATAACATGTTATAGATGATATTTTGTGGCCTGGTATCACTAGCTCCTGACGGGGATTAATTTCATCCTAGGAGAAAATCTACCAGCACCTTCCACATTTCGTAATACACATGTCATATGTATATATATATATGTATATTATACATACACATGTATATATACATATATATATATATAGTATATACATATATTATATATGTGTAGAATATATATATATATGTGTATATATATATACACATATATACATATACATACACATATATATATACACATACATATATGTATATATATACATATATATATATATATACACATGATGTTGTATATTATACAAAGGTATGCATAAGTGCGAGAGATCTATCACCTGTCGGGCCCGTCGAAGCTTCTTCGGCTTCCAACATTCGATGGGCTTTGTCGAAGCGACATTGCTGGGGTCATCCTACCCCGAAGATCACCATTTGGTAGCCGCTGGATGGTGCTGGATGGAAGATTTTTGAATGTTTGGAATTAATGGCCCATAAAACAACAATATGGGATGATTTTCACCATGTGAATGTTCCCAATGTTATATTAATGACTTTTAAATCAGTTGGGAATTGATTTTTAAATTTTTAAGTCCCAACTGATTTGTTCGATTTTTATTTTTCAGAGGGGTTGGTTGAAACCACCAAGCACCTAGGAATGGATGGAGTTCTTTCAAGAAGATGAAGATATCTCGCAAGAGGACCCTGGTTCTGGATGGATGGCGGGCAGGTTTTTCCCAGGCGAGGGTCTCTCGATTTTCTGTGGAGAAAACATGATAAACCACTCATTTCTATTCATTTCTGAAACATGTTCCCAAAAATATGCCAATTCTATTGTCAAGCTAGCTTGGAAGTGATAATTTGGCAAACAAATATGTTTTGGAACTATGATACTTCACCCATCACATGTATATATATACACGTATATATAAAGGATGCTGAAGTAGCGCGTGCCTTCGACACATAAATCAAGAAAACGAGGGATCTGCGTTCAGCTCAGTTTCGTGGGTGCACAACATCCATGTTTTTTGGAGGTACTAGGTACTTGTGTTGGGTATAGTGCTATCTGCATGGATTGTCTGGTTGGTGGCTTCAAACATGACTTTTATATACTTAAGGATGACTTCCATAGTTTTTTTGGGATGTCATCCTTCCCATTGACGAAGTCCATCATATTTTTCAAGATGGCTAAATTGCACCACCAATTAGTTGCTTTATATTACCCTCTGTTTATTCAACATAGCTATGGAAAATGACCCATATTTTTCAAGATGCTTATTGCACCATATTGCACCACCAACCAGTAATGGGATTATGATGGGATAAACCATCTACCAACTGTATCCAACTGTAGTGAAAAAGTTTGATCATACCGTAATACCTATGATAGCTGTAGTTATAGTTATATATATCTTGGTAAATTATAACGACCTCACTGCGACCTCACTGGAAATCATGGTTAATAAGGGAAATCATCCCCAAATGGCCTGGATTTTCAGGTTAGTGAATTATTATAATTTACCCAGATATATGAAAATAGCTTAATGAATCCATTTTTTTTGATGAGTTGAGCCACAACACGTGTCTCACATCGATTGACTGGAGCCACAGCAGATTTTTGGGGTAAAAAACCCCATGGGTTTCTGCTTTTTTGGTTTTCCTGTGAAGCAATTCATCTCCCACAAGCCAGTTATATCTATAATTTGTGGTTGGGAAAGTCAATTTGTAGCCGGTTACCCTCTGGTAATTTGTTACATAGCTATTGAAAATGGCCCATTTATAGTTGATTTACCTATTAAAGATGGTGATTTTCTATAGCTAACTGTTAGTTTACCAGAGGGTATTGTTGGAAATTGATGGATTTGTGGTTGGAATTTGATGCAAGCTCCTTAGCAGGCTCCCAACCGCTCACCGCTCCCAAGACAGTCCCAGGACTTAGAAGTCTTGGACCCTTTGTTGGTGAAGATGGACACCTCAGGCGGCAGATCATGGCGGCATATGATGCGGAGATTCGTGGTGAAAAAATGGGGACATTTATCGACATAAAAATCACCTGGTTGGTGGTTTCAAACATGACTTTTGGTGGTTATAGGGATAATAATGGGATAATATTATCAATATATTATCTGGTTGGTGCTTTGGAACCATGGAAATTTAATTTTCCATATTATATGGGATGTCATCCTTCCCATTGACGAACTCATATTTTTCAAGATGGTGAAATTGCACCACCAACCAGTCACGAAAGGTAGCACCAAACTAGCCCAACTGGCAAACTTCGCAACCCTACTTGAAACTGTTTTCAGCCACGGGTTTTGTTTTTTTCTCGCAGCTTTGCAGTTCTCCTCCCAAGCCAGTCAGCTGGGCTGCTAACATGTGGGAGTCGACCATCGATTGGGCAGGAAATGAGTTAACGTGGAATCCCAATTGCAGAAGGAACGTCAACACACCCCACCCCACCCCTTTTCTTGTCTGGATCGAAAAGGGGCTTGAGTTGCAAGTGATCGGTTTTTCGAGTCGCAAGTGACATATATGAGATCTAAGTGACGCGGAGTCGCAAGTGACAAATTTTCGGAGTCGCAAGTGACGAACGGTCAGTCATTAGATCTGTGTCTAGCTGCGTCTTGTTCAGGATGAAGTGACGATGTCGAAAATTCAACAGTTATGGGTTTATACTTTGATATCGTTTGTAGATGATGGCTAATATTGTTTTTTTTGGTGGGATATACCATGGCTAATATTGGGGTACTGTTTAAAACAATGGGGAGATATGGCATTTGATCGGAAGATCATGGGGATAACCCAGTGTTTCAGCCCTTTTTTGAGCGATATTTCATGTATCAGTAGGGTATATGAGTATGATATAGTATGATATACATATTTTATTACACATGTAGTAGCCCATTGACGAAGTGAGATGAAACCCCAAGTAATGTATCTAATTTTCATATCTTTGTGAAGTCAAACCATCCCCAAATTTATCATAATTATCAATGATTTCATCATTCATTGCCCTAGGTCAACGTAAAAACATCAATGTGGTGTTTACCCACCATTTAATCAATGGGAATTCCAGGATCCTAAAATGGAGGTACTGTACCATATAAGGCCATATTTTGGGGGGATATCCCCTTACATAGGCCTTATATAGGCCTTATATATGGTAGGTACCTCCATTTTAGGATCCTGAAATTCCCATTGATTTAAAGATCATTTTGCCACGGTTTCCCCGTGGCTTTTCCACATTGAAAAACCGTTCCCCTTGGACCGTTGGAGCACTTTGGACATCAGGCGACGGCCAGATCTCGCCCGAGGAGATCACGGCGGCGCTGGCGGATCCCAAATTCCAGATGCCGCAGGCGGACGGGATCACGTGCCACGGTCATCGGAACTGGTTACCCTCCAGTAAGCAAAGATACTGGAACATGGCCATTTATAGATGTAATGTCAACCCCGGATTTTGCTAAACCATGGTTTATGACAATTAGGGGGTATCCCCCCTATTTCGTCATGATTTGATACTTTTTTTTGGTACCTTCCTAATTAAACAGCCGTTTTTCCGGGGTTTATTAGTCAAGGGTTGACATCACTATGAACAAATGGTGATTTTTCATCTTCGTTTACCAGAGGCCCAGAGGGGATTTTTCAGGTGAGGCATGGCGGGATGATTCTCAATGATCTGATCCTCGGGGAGGGGATGGAAATTTCTGGTGAAAAATCATGTGAAACACGGTGAATGATTGGGTTTATAATGGTTTATTTGATGATAGTTTAAGATTCGAAGTTAGGATGGATTGGGATTTGTTAATATTTTTGGCGTTGCACAATACGAACTCCATCTTTCTTTTGGGGTTTGACATTTTAACATAGATTCTATGACCAACGATGTTTTTCAATAGAACCTTTGGTGAGCACAGGCGTGCAGTGCGCATCATTTGCTCACTCAGACCTGTCTCATATAGTTGAAAATTGCAGAAATTGGCAGAAATACAGAAATTCTTAAGAAAAATCATGATTTTTTGACCATTTTTGGGTCATGTGGTAGCAATTTTTAGCACCAACCTGCAACCTTTGGCTAATTCGCCTTCAGTTCAATGAACAGATATTTACGTGCATCAAATCAAAAGGATGCATTCATGGACTGCAGGTGTGTAGAAATGGAGCTTTCCATAAACGGGGGTAGCCCTTTATCGCTGGATGGTGTATTTCATGGACAATCCATCTATAAATGGATGATGACTGGGGGTACCCCCATGACTTAGGAAACCCCTAAACTGGGTTGTGGTTTGGAACATGGCTTTTATTTTCCATTTCATATATGGGATGTCATCCTTCCCATTGACGAACTCATATTTTTCAAGATGGTTAAAACTACCAACCCCTAAATATGCCCTTTTTGTATAATACGGTATCATTCATCCAATGACCACTGATGGTCCGCTGGTCGACGACCAGCGTAACGTTGGGTCGAGCCGCTCACCAGCGCGGAAAATCTGCTGGGTTCCGGTAGAGCGGAGCTGAGCATTTCAAGTAGGTAACACATTGACTATCTAGCAAAAAACCTGTGAAATGGATTGAAATGGAGATAACAACATTGACAAAAAATGTGAAATGGAGATAAACAAGATTGGAGATGAAAAAGTGCTTGATCACTTGATCATACCCCAAATCCCATGATTTATCATTGTTTTTTTCCCTTCCGCAGACGTCCTGGAACCACGCTATGATGAACTGAACGAAGCTCCGCTGTGAATGGAAGCAGATTGGAAACACCTAACGAATATAGTATTGTTTTTCCGTGTAAATGGCTATAATTATAGGGGATATAATGTGGGTAAAACAATAATAAACTATCCCCCAAATCACCATAAATAGGTGGTATAAACCATTCCCATAACTATGGAAAGATCCACCATGTTATAGCTGGGAAATCCACTATTTCGACTGGGCCATGGCTTCAATAGCTATATAACAAATTACCAGATGGTATATCCCAGTTATAAGTGGGATAAGTAGGGATATAATCCACTTATCACTGGGATCTAATCCACTTATTAACTAATCATGGCCATTTGTAGTTGATATACCCATTAAAAATAGTGATTTTCCTTAGTTTTTTGTATGTAGATCCCGGCCCCAGGTGGTCCGTTTGAAACTCATCGAGTTCATGAAGAGCGTCGGGTGATTTTTGGAGCTCGGCTGGCGAGGCAAATGGTGGAGCTCACATGGTCAAAAATGGTGATTTTTCACAAAGAATCACAACATTATAGTGGTTATATAGTGGTTATATAGTGGTTTTATAGTGGTTATATAGTGGTTATATAGTGGTTATATAGTGGTTATATAGTGGTTATATAGTGGTTTTATAGTGGTTATATAGTGGTTATATAGTGGTTATATAGTGGTTATATAGTGGTTATATAGTGGTTATATAGTGGTTATATAGTGGTTATATAGTGGTTATATAGTGGTTATATAGTGGTTATATAGTGATTATATAGTGGTTATATAGTGGTTATATAGTGGTTATATAGTGGTTATATAGTGGTTTTATAGTGGTTATATAGTGGTTATATAGTGGTTATATAGTGGTTATATAGTGGTTATATAGTGGTTATATAGTGGTTATATAGTGGTTATATAGTGGTTATATAGTGGTTATATATATATATATATAGACCCTGGCAGATACTGTAGGGGTTGGAAGACTAGTGAAACCATGCAAACTGGGTGATAACATCAGGGTCTATATGTTAATTTACCAGGGGGTAACAAAGAATCACAACATTATATGGAGGTTTCCTGGAATGGGGGTACCCCAATAGCTAATAGCTGGATTATAATTTTAATAATGGAACATCAATCTATAAATGGATGATGACTGGGGGTACCCCCATTTTAGGAAACCTCCATATGGAAATAAAGTTAATGGGAATGTAATGAGTAATGGAAATATCATGGGAATATAAACTGGAATATCATGAGTAATGATACATCATACAAATTGATGGGTATAAGTATATCAGTATATCACTATTATATATATATTGATGATGTCTAAATATATTGTATAAACATAACGAATTATAAGTTGATGATGTATATATATATATGTATATATATAATTTGCTTGTAATGAGGATATAAGCAGGATAGAAGGCCTGAGATTCAAGCAACCCCCCAGTTTTTTGTGACCCCCCACAATCATAAAGGTCACCGAAATGGGGGACGTGTAACGTTGGTTGAGTCCCGATGAAAGTTGGGGTAGCGAAACATGGCTGCCGTAGCCCAAGGTACAACGTGATGATGGATTTTTGCAGAATTCATGACTACATCGTGTACAATTTACTACATTTCGGGCAGAAAACACTTGTGACTCTGGTCGGTGGTATGATAGATTTATTAGTTTACATCCTTACAGATGCAATGATTATCCCGATTGACTTCCGTACTGAAATCACGGGTGTAACGTCTGATAAGCTAAACTAGTTGACTGGTAACTAGTTTAGCCTAATGGTGGATATGCAAAAACATGGACGTGTAATAACCATGAACGAACTGAGGGTGATTCTCAGGGAATCAGTTGGAAATGGGGGCGAGAACAGAAGACCGTTCTGAGAGGTAAGTGTGTTGGAATCATCTTTATAGCAATCCCAAAAAAGATAAACAAGTAAATTCCTACTTAAACAGTGAAAAACTGTTTGGGCTTCAGTATACATGATGAATGGATCTTCCAATACCATGGTTGAATACCAGGTTTTACTTTTTTTCAAAAGAAATGTGATCCTCAGAAAAGTGACCTGCATTTCCTTCACCCCATTTGTGGAGTTAGGCCACCATTTTTATGGTCTTTTTGGGGGGGTTAAGTGGCAAAAAGCGGATTGAGAATTCAGTACCCTCCAGTATTTCACATGGCAAGGGAGAAAATGGCTGATTTATAGATGCTCACACCTCACACCTATGAAACATGGCAATGTTTTCCACAGCTATCTTTCATCAACGGAGGGTGCTCAACTCCCAATTTCTCTGCGCATTTAAAAGGTTCCATGTCGAGTCATACCCCTACGATGGCTCCCACTGGGTTCCCAACATTGGCATGGAATGCAGGAAAGTCCCAATAAATTGGGTGAAAACCAGGGGAAAGCCATGAATTTTTCCCGTTCAATCCAGTGGTTGCTGAATGTTGCTTTTTTATCCCCATCTCTCCATATTTTCATGGTTAACTCGCGATATTTTCTGGTTGCTTTCAAGGGGAAACCACAAATTCCGATGCTAAAAGCCCATCATTTTCCATGATTTTCACGATCGAGTTTTGTTTACTTTTTTAAGGGCTACAATACCGTTTTTAGAAGGACAAACCCAGAGAGAGAATGTATATATATATATTGGCACACCTCATGAATATGAACACTCAAACCCCAGAATATCCATCTTCGCTTCCCCCCGCTTCCAGATTCGGCCCCTGTTTTCTGGAAACGACCGAGCGCCCACGAGCTGCGGGAGCTCAATGGGGGATCTCGGCGAAGGAAGACACGATTTGGAGGGGTTTGGGGAGAGCCTGATCTGGGATACCATCTTTGGGGGGAATGGTTTCATGATGGTTTCATCATGTTTTATGATGTTTAATGATGTTTTTGATGATGTTCCATCCATTTGGCCATTTTTTTGCATTAACATCATGGACACGAGAATGACCGATTTGCTCGCGCATTATGAACCTATGGTTGTCTAGCTATCCCAAGGTCCTCATCGATACACATTAGCACCTTGAAATGCAACCATGAACGCTTGGAGTGGCTGTTTCCAGGTTGAAAGATCATGTTCCAGAATCCAAAACCATTTATTCTTGTTTTTTCTTCAGGCATCAAGGCAATTTTTTCCAGCTTTGGTTCCTTTTTTGTTTGGGATTTTGTAGAATTTGGGGCATTTTTTTCCGAAAAACAGGCTGCAACAAAAGGATGACTCCACCTTCAACTCCAGGAGCATTGCCAACGCGGTCACGATGTCAGCTGAAACTGGCGAAGGGCGAGGGGGAAAAAGGTGGCCTCTGATGCTGGGAATGTCATGGAAAAGCTATGAACATCTATAGTTAGTTAAGCTGGGAGATTTTCATGGGCTGGTTGGTGGTTTATATATGGGGAATGATGGTTAGTAATTAAGGGGAATCATCTCCCAATTGCCTTATATAATTTATTTATACTGGTTGGTGGCTGGAACCATGGAATTTTATGACTTTCAGAGGGGTTGGTGGCTCAACCACCAAGCAGTAATTGATGGAGATATAATGGAATGGATATGACCCAATCGGGGAAACATGTATAGATATCCAATGTATACGTATATATATATAGATAGATAGATATGTCTATAAAAAGCACTATGAGCAGGGTATAGCCCTGAAAATGGCAGGATTGATGGCAAAATGCTCCCCTTCGCAGGTCGACATAGAAGCTCTTGGGCAAGCTCTACAAGTGGTGGAACAGAAGAACCTGGAGTATATGAACAGAATTCACAAGCAGGAGCCAGCCTTCAGGTACCCACTGGTAATAACAGATATTAAAACATAGGGAAATCATCCACCTTATCGAAGTGAGTCATTTTCCAGTGCCAGGTTAGATATCTGGGGAGTAGTTGTAGGGTCATTTAAGAGGCAATTTTAGCTTTTTGTGATTTTCAATCCCCTGATGTCGAAGTTCATTTGGAGATGCAGTTTTCATTCCGAAACATCTGTTTTCCTACAAGATGGGGCCCCAAAGATAGCGTTCAGTTGGTTTATAGGTTTATAATCGGTTTAATTGTGGTTTATGGTAGATACAACTATAGTTATAATGGGGATTATAGTGGTTTATAATAGATATAGCTATAGTAAGTTATAATGGGGATTATAATGGTTTATAAACCAACGTTCACATCACTGGGGGGCATCCTGTAGGGCGATCTTCTGAACGACGATGACCTGAAGCTTTCATGTTTCATGTTTGAGAATATACCCGTGATATATGTGCCATGGCAAAAACGTGGCTCGTCCGTTGTTTCTTCAAATTGGGGTACCCTCTGGTAAACATATAAAAAACTATGGAAAATCACAATTTTTCATGGGTAAATCCACTATTTCGACTGGGCCATTTTCAATAGCTTTTTGTATGTTTACCAGGCCGGGTAATCACCAGTCGATAGGGATTTCTATGCCGCATGGATTCCCATTGGACCGATGGTGCGATGTTTCAGCAATTCTTGAAAGTAACACATACAGAAATATCATCTTATATACTATTACTGGTACATACGCACTATAAAGCATATTATATATATATATTATACGTGGATAATATGTATATGTATATGTATATGTATGTATATGCATACATATATATATATATATGAATATATATGAATTATATGATATGTATGTAGACAGGACAATGTATGTATATGCATACATATGATTATACGTATATCTGTATATACTGCTACACACATCATTTCCGGGTCATGTAATGTTACGTAATGTTACATCGATACATTTATAGACACATAACTTCGTCGGGTTATCGTCGGTTATCGTCCCCAATTTGGGATGGGCAGCTTTCTTGCAATGGAACATATCACAACCAGCGAAGATTAATGTTGGACTATCAGAGATTGACTATGTTATATATATATATATAATACATTTGGGTAAATGATAGTGACCTCACTGGAATCATGGTGAATAGATGTGAATAGGGGAATGATCCCGTACCTTGTTTCAGGTTTGTGAAATATGATACCCTCTGGTAAACTAACGTAACTATGGAAAATCACCATCTTTAATGGGAAAACTCACTATAAATGGCCATTTTCAATAGCTATGTTAGTTTACCAGAGGGTAGTTTACCCAGATCTGCAAATATATCTCCATCAGGAGACCCGAGAGCAACAGCTGAAGGGCGAAAATAGCACTCTCCAAGAAGAGGCACGATGCGCCGACTCAAAAGGCCCTAGTTTTAATCATGGTTTATGGTAGTGGCTTATAATGGGGTTTAGTCATGTGGGTTTATAACCCAATAGTGGAGTATAATCAAAGTAAGATATATTTTTGGGATAGAATGGGAGAATATATATATATATTTTTAAATTGTGGGAGAATCATGAATAATTCTGGAATCATACCCCGAAGATCACTAAGTTGGTGAACATAACTAGATTAACTCAATGGGAATTCCAGGATCCTAAAATGGAGGTACTATACCATATAAGGCCATATTTTGGGGGTATATCCCCTTACATAGGCCTGAAAAATAGGCCTTATATATGGAATCGGTACCTCCAATGAATCGGTTCCTGTTGCATGGCCATTGATTAACTATGGTTTGAGGTATATATAAAATTATATAAATATGGGTATAGGTCAATACCTATAGATACCATATTTTAGTGGGTTATTCACATCCATTTACCAGCTATTTTGGGGTTCACTAGGTACCAGGGTTTTGACCCATCCCCATATATCTATAGTCAATGGGTGTTTTTTGAACCAACTTGGGGTACCACCCAAGGTATCTTAAGCGGCCCAAGACCGGATGAAAAACCGATAAAAAGTTGAAGGATTTGACTGATTTGACCAAACAGATGGAGCTAGTATAAAGCTATCTCAATGGGCTAATTTACCAAAGAAATTGGAGGTTCAACTTGTTCAACCGCCATTTTAAATGGGAAAAACGCCAATTGATATAGTTGGGGAAACGAACTGGCTATTAGTGGAATCTATTCACAGACATGGAGGTTTTTTTGGGAGAAATCTCTGGATTCAAGGAAAATACGGTGGTTTCACCAGAGAAAATCTTCAAAATCGCGACTTCTCAGCGATTTTTTGAACCGGGGGTCTGCGATGAAGCAACATTCAACTGGGCAATGGATATGGATATGGGTATGGGTCAATACCTATAGATACATTTTTAGGGGAATGAACATCCATTTACCAGCTATTTTGGGGTTCACTAGGTACCAGGGTTTTGACCCATCCCCATATATTTACCAAGCAGTGCAGCCCAGAACCGTAGAAATTCGCCTCGATCACTCTAAATCGGCCCTTTATCCTAGGCGAAGGATTCTGCAATGAAGAGCCTGTTTGGTTGCTTGTTACATCAATGGGAATTCCAGGATCCTAAAATGAAGGTACGTTAGTACCATATTGTTGGCCATATTTTGTGGGGATATTCCCTTACAATCCCTTACATAGGCCTGAAAAATAGGCCTTATATATGGTAGGTACCTCCAATCAATCGATTCATGTCACCATGCTTTTCATGGGAAAACTCACTATTTTGACTGGGCCATGGCTTCAATAGCAAACTGTAACAAATTACCAGGCCAGGTATATCACAATGAAAAGTCCAGGCGCTGCAGAGATGCTGATTTAAGGCCCTGCCCCCTGTTTCCCAATGGTTTTGGGTACCCCAAAACCATTGCTTTGCTTGTGAAAAAGATGATCGATTTTGGAGGAGCAAATGGGTTCAGTACCTGGGGTGTTTGGAGCAACCCTGAAGGTACACGTACGGAAAGCAATGTTTGTATGTTCAGGAAATACTGAACACTGGTGGTATATCCAAATGTCTGGGTCAATGTCCTTTTCATGTTCAAAGGACGAGTTTTGTTGGTTTTCAAGGGTACAACAAACAACTACAGAGATCGACAGTGTTGAAGTTATAGCTGGTTGGTGGTTTGGAACATTTTTTATTTTTCCATATATTGGGAATAATCATCCCAACTGATGAAGTCATATTTTTCAGAGGGGTAGGTATACCACCAACCAGATATATAATTAACCATTATTAACCACCATTAACCACCATTAATGGTCATTAACCACCATTAACCACCAACCAGCTAGGCTTTTTGATTTTTAGACCACACTAGAATACTTTTTAGACAGGATTTCAGAATTTCAGGCTACATCCGGAAGAAAAAATCCACTGGACATCAAGGCGAAATATGTGCTCCCTAAACACCCTCTGGTAAACATACAAAAAACATGGAAAATTACCATTTTCAATGGTAAATCAATTATTTCTATGACCATTTCCAATAGCTATGGTAGTTTACCAGAGGGTAACTGCCATTTTGATGTTTGTTTGGCCTTATTGACCTTGCGAACATGGTCAACAGGGATGACAACTATGGAGGAGTCCTAATATGAAAACCTCCCTGACAGACTAAGGCAACGACAAGTATGGTTTGGGATTTATGATAACTCATCATTGATTGTCGAACTTGGTAAATCTTCTCATTTTTCTGAAAACATCATGTCTGGTTTGGCTGTGGGATCTGTTGAATCTATGGTTATTTTGTGAACTCACAGGTCATTCAGACACACGACAAAAAATCCTCCGCACAAAGTGCAGGTGGAACTGATTCGTTCCGAAATAGGCGAGAGCGGGGCCTTGTGGCACTAGATCTAGGTCAGCCAACTGGATGGGTTTTGGGACCAATCCTCTAGTCGTTTGCGATTTAAAGAGGAAGATCTACTAACAAGCTACCCTCTGGTTATGTCAAAATAGCTATGGAAAATGGCCATTGAAATAGTGAGTTTTCCCATTAAAAATGGTGATTTTCCATTGCTATGTTAGTTTACCAGAGGGTAACAGTTCTACTTTTTGCAGGGTATCTAAGATTAGCAACGAGATCTGGTTTGTGGTTTCAAACATTACATTGCTATGAGTAGCACAATTTGACTACTGTTGTTTGGGTGGCTCAGCCACAAGGTGGTGCCCCCCCCAGTTATAAGTTGGTTTATAACCCTCTTTAAGTATAGGTACCATCTGGTTATTTAACATAGCCATGGAAAGATCCACCATTTTAAAGTTCGGTAAACCATCTATTTCTACGGGCCATGGCTTCCAATAACCAGAGGGTATATCATATATCTAGAACATTTGTTATTTTTCCATATATTGGGAATAATCATTCCAACTGACAAACTCATATTTTTCGGAGGGGTAGGTATACCACCAACCAGTATAATTAGGTATATCTACCATAAACCCACGTGAAATTGGA